AAAAAAAAAAAAAAAAAAAAAAAAAAAAAAAAAAAAAAAAAAAAATTTTAAAAAAAAAAAAAAAAAAAAAAAAAAAAAGTGTAATAGTAGAACAATAAAACAAACTGTTCACTTTATTTTAAGGTGTCCTTGTTACAATGTAATTATACATTTAAGTACTGAGTAATATTAATTAGCTAAATGTACTTACTATATGTTTAGGATTTGGGTTTTGCTTAGGGTTACTTGCGTGTAATTATGCATAATTAATTGTTATTATAATAGTAAGTACATGTAACATGTGTAACAAGGACAACTTAAAATAAAGTGTTACCAGCAATACTTCTACCATATTAAAAAAAAAAATCCACATTAATGTTAATTTATAAATATACTAATACATTTTTTAGGATTTCAATTGTATTATGAACTACTATAATATTTGTAATGTAAATTTATAAATGAACATAGAATAAATTATGAACAATATTTAAGATTGTTAGTTTAAGATACCTACTGTAATATAAATGAATTATATAAAGACTTGGATCTTGATTTGGACTAGTATGTGACCACCTAGCAACCATGCAGCAGCACCCTAGCAACGGTTTTCATTTTGGGCCGACCACTGTAATGTAAAAATCCAGTTTTTTTGTTTGTTCTCGTGTAAAAATCTTTATTTAATTTACTCCACAATGGCGCCTGAACATGAAAGATCAGTGTGACCGAGATGAAACGCATTATAATGAAACCCTGAAGAGTGTAATTGGCCGCCTTTGTGTGCGCAGACGTCATGGGTAGTTTCCCCTCCTAGCCGAGAGAATAGACTTCCTAAATCACCATAACACAAAAGAGCCACAAACAACTGGCAGCGATGGCGACGGCAGACACTCGCGGTCGTGTGGAATCCTGGCATGATGTCATGACGTCTGAATGTGTGTGTTTGTCTCGCCGTTCGAGCCGGTGCCACATGAAAGCCTTTCCTGCACTCAGTACGAGGAGCCACCTCTTTCCAAACACGCCGTTCTTACGGTCCCGAGTTGGGGGCCTCATATCGTGACCAGAAGCTCCTTCAATTAAACTCAATGGTGGTCCTATGAACAAATGAACGTGCCGTGAGTCAGTGCTGGAGAACAGCTGGTGTGGATAAATCACGAATGTACGGAGCGCAGCGGCTCCTCCATCCCGTTTCCCTCGGGCTCTGGATTACAATAACGGAGCTTGATGTGATTTACGAGACATGTCACTGTTAAAACAATATTTGTTGATGCTGTGGTGTGTTTGAGCAACATGGAGATGGTTGTACGAATCTATTAACCTCAACTATTAACATAATGTGTCATCACAATCCTTGGCCTAAAAGCTTGCAGATATGACATAAGAAAGCAACTATGCTTGTTTGCAACTAGCTTTTTAAGATACAAACTACTCATAATGTACATGTTTTAGGTGAAGTGCTGTTTCTGCACTACTAGCATCACCAAAAAGAACAATAATGACTGTTACCAAACAGGTTTCCACCATCTTTCACTGGTCAAACTACAAGTAGTCACGCTCCAAACTCATGCGTTTAGGAGGATTTAAAGCCATTTTTATATTGCATTCAAGCTCTACTTTTAGAAATTGCATTGCCTGGGAATCGAACCCATGGACTTGACGTTGCTGGCGCTATATGCTGAAAGCTACATGCTGCTGTAAATATTTTCAGAACAAGCGATAATTTATAGCACCACAAAGTGACAGTGTTTGTAGTTTGTAGAAATAAATCTATACATGTACATAAATAAATGAAATTTCTCCCGCCACTGCAATCAAAATTTCAGTAAAAAAAAATATACATCGATAATGAAAATATAATACTACTACTACTACTACTACTAATAATAATCAATTTATGTTAAAAAACATTTAAAATAAATAAAAACAATTATTTAAAATGTAATGATAAAATATCAAATTAATTTTCACAACATTTTCACAGTATAATAATTAAATATTTTTTTTACTACTACTACTACCACATAAATAACATTAATTACATTTAAAATTAAAAATTGTATTGATTATTAAAATAATAAAATACAACAACAACAACAATAACTATTATAATTTTTTTACTGTACAAGTGTAAAATTAGAATTTTTGTAATTTACTTTTTTTGCCAAAAATTTTCAAGCTTTCATTTTGGCCGTAGACTACAGAAACACCTTAAAGTTTCTTTTTAATTGTCAATAGTTTTAAAAACACTTCTCATTTTAAATAAAGTTAAATGTTCTAAACATCTGCACACAAAATATTTGAAAATACACTGTCGAAACAAAATGAACCCGATGCTCCTTGTTTTCTCAAAGCACATTTATAAGCGAGCGCCTTCAGAGATCGATTTATTAATCACACATACACAGAACATATCACAGTTTAGATTTTATTTTGATTGCTTGTGCCACAGTTGTATCACAAATGGTTGTAAAATAAGGTGAAGAAAGAGAAAGTATTAACATCAAAAATTACATTCCCTTTTTAGTTACTATAAACAGACAAATCAAAAAAATTCTTTGGAGCTTCTTCAGAAGGCTTGAAACTCCCAGTCACTGGCATTTGTCTTGGACTTGTAATGCCCGTTTCTGTCATCCACACGTTTGTGCAGCGCTCACGAGTGAGTGAAAACACAATCGTGTCTATGGTGACCACCTGAAAGCATCAGAACAGCAGCCGTGTTTGTTTTTAGCGCCGCTCCAGGTAGGTTGACTAAGTCAACATTTCAAGAAGAAAAGAGAGTCTTTGACAGGGTTTCTGCAGGTTTTATGAAGGTGAATTCAACCCTTTTTAAGACCAAGTAAAAACTATTTAAGACATAAATTGACTGGAACACAATACATCAATATGGTCTATATGTAAATGTCTTGTATTAGCACTGCTTGAAAGTTTAAAAATACTTCAAACAAATCTCCATTACTTTTGCATTCATTTTACAAATAATAAATAACTTTAACTGTTGGTTCTGATCACACTGCAAAAAAAGTAATGTTCTTCGTCAGCATTTGTCTTTTTTCCAGTGAAAATGTCTAAAGATTCATAAATCGTGATACATTTACTTGAGAAACAAAATGACATAAAATAGGAAAGTCTTGTTTTATGACAAATTGATCAAAATGATGTTTATGATTATAACAGAACAAATATCTGCCAATGGGTTTAATTAAGGGAAATTACGTTTTCATGCCCCAAAGACAGATATTTTTTCTTGTTTTAACTCTTGCTCTTCTGTCATTTTTGACGAAAAACGTTTTGGATTTTCAGAATTTTATACTTCAGAATGGTATGAAATAGGGATGCACCCGATACTGAGCTCCTGTACTCGTACTCGTACTCGTTACAATGCACCGATACCAAACGCCGATACCACACAGCATGTGATAAGTGCCATATTCAGACAAAGAAACACCGGCAACAGACAGCAGAATGGAGTTATTAGAGATTAAAGATGTCTACGAAGTAGGTAAAACAATGCACACGCTACTTAACGGTAGGGAGAGAGAGAGAGAGAGAGAGCG